TGCGGTATGAATGTGATAGCGAGATCCACACGCGGGATCGCATGATCCAGGACGCTCAAGGGTGGTTTTTCCCGGACGTAGAGAAGATCAAAGAGGCCCGGTCGATGGAGCTGAAGAGCTGCAAGCGACTTGATTCGCTGAAGGGAAGATACTGATCTGTGGCTCTCATGGCTGCTACACTTGTTCCTATTCGTTCTTGGGCGCGGTTGGCTTCGCATCCGTTGTTTACTAATATCCCATGCAATTGTCCCATGCTATTGGGCTCTACCACGATCAAGCCTTTTTTTTTTTCGAGCTTAGATGTCTATATGTTCTCACGGTTTGTTGATGGCGTTCTATGGGCAAACAATGACTTGTTTTGTTGCGTTGGGTTCGGAATCAGTGTTTTGACTATTATTGTCATGAGTGATTGTTATAAGAGTGGATTCTCTCATCACCTGACTTATCAACCATAAGATGTACGCTAAGATGCACACTTCAACACTGACCAGTATTGAATTATTGTGCAATGGATGGGTTCATGATGGAGGATAGATCATTGATGGCGGTGATGAGCCGGACCCGATCGGGGCAAGTGTGTTGTGCCCTGAGCGGGGAGGGAAGATCAAATCCATCCAACCAGCTTAGTTAATAATCACTGGTTAACAATCGACCATGACAGAAAGTCCGACTTAACGACGACGACGACCGCGCATGCAGAAGTGACATCGACATCCTCCACCCCCAACTTCCGCCTTGTCCTTGTCCTCGGTTTACCCCATCATCAGCCCCTCCTGAGGACTTGTCACATCTCGGTTGCCGGTTTTTCTGTCTTCTTTCCTCCCCCCACAGTTCCTTCGTTCCATCAAACTCAGCCAAGCACTTTGCAGAAAACCGTGACCCGCTGACCGAGGAAGGTTTTCTGCTGCGGGCTGCCCCGATCAGCATCAGTAGAGATGTCCGATAGCCAGTCTGAAGCGGACAAGGTTCGTTTACTCATCTTTTTTTCCTAATTCATTCAAGGCCCAATCTCGAATCTAAGTTTCCTCTGACCCCTGTTACCTACAGATCCGCAGCAAGCGCTTGGCAAAGCTAGGAAATCCCACTCCCTCGTCGCCCGTCGACGGCGCTGCGTCGAGCCAGCCCGCATCGCCCTCGCAGCCCTCGCCTGCATCCCGATTCCCAGAGAGACCCCAGTCACAACCACGATCCAATCTGAGCAGCGCCGCTCCTTCACGGGCCTCGTCCCCGCAACCACAGACCGTGCAATCGGAATGGAAGCGGATCAAGATTCAACCCCCCACGGCCGCCAGCGCAGCGCCAGACCGATCGCAAACCGTTACCCCAGTCTCCGGCACTCCCCCTCCACCGAGAGCTGACGAGAGTATCGAGTCCTTTGCCGATCGGACCCTCAGCGCGGCCTTCAAACTGACCTTGAACGAGGCTCGTCAGAAGGATATTCACGGGCAGCGGTTAACCTACTTGCCCGGACTGCGGGGTGAATTGGAGGAGCAGGGCCGTGAGGTCCGCATCGAGCTGTCGGTGCTGGACCAGGCCCTCCTGGAGGCAGCTTCGAATGCTCCCCAGCAGAAGCCGTTGGATTACCTGCTTCCATGCTGGAGGCGGATATCCCGGTTGCACAAAGGGTTCCGTCGGCCTCGCGACGATGACCCGAAATACAGCGTCATCTGTGAAGCCCGCCGCATGTGCATGAGCTACTGCATCTTTGCTATCACCATGCCGGAAATGTTCGGGTAGGTTTGACTCGCCTTTTGGCACGATTAGCAGCTGACACATTCTGCCCCCCCTAAAGGCTCGAGTCGTCTGAAAAGTCGGCCCTCAAACCCTATCTCCTCCTGGACCCGGAGGATGACAAAGGTGTGGATTTTGAGTTCATCGGCGAGGCTGTGGGCAGGTTCAATGAGGATGAAAGCATCAAGCCGGCCTTCATTGCTGCTGTGGAGGAAATGAGCCAGGAGCTTGCGGGCCTGACCATCAACGATGATTACAAGCCCTATCTCACAGTATGTTGATCTCTTCTCTTCACCGTGGGCGCGTCTCATCAACCTGTTTGCAGGCTTTGCGGAACCTTGTCCACAATGCGGCCATCGCGGCTGCCATTACTGAGTCATCCATGTTCAACGAGTCTCGGGATCCAGCTCAGTTCGAAAAAAAGACGCTGCTTGGCCCGTGGTTCAGTCTGTCCCCGCTTCAGAGCAGTGTGACCATGACATACTTCTCGAGCCCCAAGACTAGAGATCAATCATACATCCTGAACGCACAGCGGTCTATCCGCATGATGCAGCATATGATTAGCTCGGATCTGCTTGATGTGCTTAACCACATGATCCGGGCCTCCAAGGATGCCAGGGATCGGGTGCTAGACTGGTTCGCAGCCTCCCTGAACATCAACCACAAGCGACGGGCTATGCAAGTGGATCCTACTACTGTGTCGTCGGATGGCTTCATGTTCAACATCACAACTTGCCTGGACCAGCTCTGCGAGCCGTTCATGGATGCAAGCTTCACCAAGGTATGAGAGTCAGTCAATTAGTTAGGTGCTTTGCGGGTCTGACTCAATTTGTCGTTGCAGATCGACAGGGTCGATGCAAACTATCTACACCGCAAGCCTCGGGTAGATATGAAGGACGAAACCAAAGTCAATGCTGATCAGCATGCCTCGGATGCTTTCTATGCCAAGTCCGCAGAAGGCACGTCCAATTTTATCACGGAGATTTTCTTCCTGACGGTGGCTGCCCATCACTACGGTAGTGAGTCTCTGACTTCCAAGCTCGAGCAGCTCGAGAAAGACCTGCGGCACATGGAGTCCACCATCAACAAGTTCGAGCTGGAGCGGCATCGGTGGTTGAACAATCCAGTGCAGCTCAGAGTATTCGAGCAGGCCCTCAAGAAATACAAGGACAAGCTGGACCTGGGTCTGGCCCTGAAATACAGCTTGCAGGGCGTCTTGTTTGACGATCAATGGCAGGCGCGGTCCATGCTCTTCATGCGATATGTGGTGGTCTGGGTACTGCGGGTTATATCCGGCACTAACTTTCCCAAGGAGCCGCTCAAGCTTCCCTTGCCTGAGCAGCAACCAGAGGTGTTCCAGTGCCTGCCCGAATACTTCATCGATGATATTGTCAGCAACTTCAAGTTCATTATGTGGGCTATGCCTCAAATCATTACTGCCACTCAAGGAGACGAGCTGGTTATGCTTTGCATTACCTTCCTAGAGAGCTCGAGCTACATCAAGAACCCCTATCTCAAAGCAGGTCTTGTCTCCATCCTGTTCCGAGGAACCTGGCCTCGCCCTGGAGGCGGTCGGGGTGTCCTCGTGGACTTGCTCAACTCCATGCCTTTCGCTAACCAGCACCTACTGCACGCCCTGATGAAGTTCTATATCGAGGCTGAGCACACCGGTACACATACCCAGTTTTTCGATAAGTTTAATATCCGTTACGAGATCTTCCAGATCATCCAATGCATCTGGCCCAATACCCATTACCGCAACAAGCTCTACAACCAGTCCAAGCAGAACCTGGATTTCTTCGTGCGCTTCGTCAATCTTCTGCTCAATGACGTGACCTATGTGCTAGATGAGTCCTTTGGGGCCTTCATCACGATTCACAAGACGCAAACGGAACTGCGCAATGCAGCAGCAATGGAGCCCACCGTACGCCAAGAAAAAGAGGAGCAGCTGGCGGCCGCGCAGCGCAATGCCAAGTCCTATATGCAGTTGACGAATGAGACTGTTTCCATGCTCAAGTTGTTCACCGATGCACTGGCCGATTCTTTCACGATGCCTGAAATTGTGCAGCGATTGGCAGATATGCTCGACTACAACCTGGACGCCATGGTCGGGCCCAAGAGTGCCACTCTGCGGGTGGACAACTTGCAGGAATACGGCTTCAACCCTCGGGCATTACTGAGCGAGATCGTTGATGTCTATCTGAATCTGACGGGCAAAGAGAGCTTCATTGTGGCTGTGGCACGTGATGGGCGGTCCTACAAGCCTGCCAATTTCGAAAAGGCCGCCGAGATTCTGCGGAAATGGTCACTGAAGTCGCCCGAGGAGCTCAAGCGGTGGGAGCAGTTCCAGCACAAGGTAAAGGCGGCTAAAGAAGAAGACGAGCAGGCGGAAGAAGACCTCGGGGAGGTTCCTGATGACTTCCTGGGTATGATTACACTTCTGGCATCCACTCCAACGGCACTAATGCAGCTTTGTAGATCCTCTTATGTACACTCTGATGGAAGACCCCGTGATCTTGCCTGGGTCCAGGGTGTCTATTGACCGCTCTACCATTCGCTCGCACCTTCTCAGTGATCCCCACGACCCCTTCAACCGAGCTCCGTTGAAAATGGAGGATGTCACACCCGGTGAGTATTTCGGTTGTTGACGATATCCCAAAGGTTCAAGGCTGACCGTTCATCCTAGATACGGAACTCAAGGCCAAGATCGAAGCCTTCAAGGCCGAACGGATGGCGGCGCGCAGGCAGGCTAAGGTGTCCGATCCGATGGACACGACTACTGGTTGATTGCGAGTCAAAAGCAACGGCTTCTATGCAGAGGGCATTTCCGCCGCCCCAGGGCGTATTCCAATTAGCGCTTTTGACCATGAGATGGATTGAGGTCGTCGTTTTCTTTGTTACCTTTACTGAGAAGGGTTGGAGTTTTCTCTTGCGTTGGATTATCATCATAGAATAGCCGAGTCGGGGGCGGATTCTACAGTACATCGCTACCCGATCAGGGCACCAGGGTCTGCATTGCCGGACGGTTTGAACCCAATGATGTGTTATGGTTTTGGAATCTAAGCATGAATGGTAGGCGCAATGGACGGTGATTTATCAGTATGGGTCCCAGTCAACGTATTCGTATTCGAGGAGATAAGCTGTGGCCTGCTTGATTGCAGATCTCCTTTAGTCAGATCTTAGTCATTCACATGATCGAAGGATCACTTGAGTTCATGTGAACTTCCAATGACATAACTGCTGGGGAGATGTTGCATCTACACGAAGCACTTATACAAAGTACAGTATATCGACTTCACCAGTACACCCATCCATCCCCCATCCCAACATGGGAGCCATCCTCTCCTCCTGCTGGGACCATCTCCCTCCTCTGATGGACATTCTCCTCCCCACCCCCGATGTCTATCTCACCTTACTGAACATCTTCCAATACTTCCCGCTGGTCAGTCTGCGATTCCATCTTGTTGGGGGGGTCATGCTAACCACCGCACCGAAGTACAGTTCACCATCATCCAATGGCTGACAGCCTGGCACCCGGCCGGCAAGACCTCCATGAAGAGCTCCCTCTTCAACCTCCCCGGCCGCTGGGCCTGGTTCGCCATGGAGATCGTCAGCCCGGTGAACCTGCTCTACGTGCTGTGGAAGCTGCCCCTCAAGCTCGCCGCCGCCCACCGCACCACCACCAATTCTGGTTCGAATGCCGATGGCTCTATCTCTATCTCTATCCCCCTGCCCAACAAACTCCTCGCCGCCCTCTTCGTCGCGCACTACCTCAACCGCGCCATCATCTCCCCCTTCCTCGCCGCCCCCAGCATGTCCCCTATCCACCTCTTCATCATGGTCTCCGCCATGCTCTTCAACTGGTTCAACTCGACATGTCTGGCCGGCTGGTTGGTGGGGTACGACATCCCCATCCGCCCGGCCTCCCCCTATCACCCTTCCTCACCACCATCCAACACAGCAGCAGCAGCAGCACCAGGAAAGGTAGTACCCTACCTCGGTCTCGCGCTCTTTCTGGCCGGCATGGCCGGGAACATCTACGCCGAACGCACGCTCTTCCGGCTGCGGCGCGAGGAGGGCGCAAGGAGGGCGGCGGCCGCTGATGCTGCTGGTGGTGCTGGTGCTGGTGGCGCTGCTTCCTCCAAAGACCCCTTCCCCTCCCCCTCCCCCTCCCCCTCCCCTCCATCCAATCCCAAACCATCATCACCCCCCTCCACCTCCACTTCGAAAGTGTATGTAATCCCCCCACCATCCACCCCGCTCTTCGCCTCGATCCTCTACCCGCACTACGTCTGCGAATGGCTGGAATGGACCGGCTTCGCGCTCGCGGGGACGGCGGTGCGGTCGTCGGCGTCCGCGGGGATGTTGGGGTTGGGGCTGCGGTCGTATACCAATTCCATCACCACTACGGCCACGGCCAGTACCGTAGCAGCAGCAGCAGCAGCAGCAGCTAGCCGACCCCTCCATCTCGCTCCCTGGCTTCGTCCCGCGGCGCAGCTCGCCGCGGCCGTGGGGCTGCCGTTCCCCGTGCCGGCGGCGGTGTTTGTGGTGAACGCGGTGACCAATATGCTGCCGCATGCGCGGTGGGGACGGAGGTGGTATGTGGAGCGGTTTGGGGAGGAGAAGGTTGCGGGGAGGGGGGCGGTGGTGCCGTTTTGTGGGTGGTTTTAGGGTTGCTTTGCTTTAGCATTCACGAAGGGGGGGGGTTGTGTTTTGGTTTCAGGGAGGGTAGACAGAGGGAGGGGATGATGATGGGAATACGAAGTTTGAGGGATGGTTTGTATACTACTTGATTAGAGGGGTTGGTTTGTTAGTGTATGCTTAGCCATGTAGAACTAGTCTGGGAGTTTTTAGCGATCGAAGCAATGGCTAAGACACCACAATATGATATTGTGGACTCGTTGAAAGACTAGAAAGACTGAGAATCCTTGTAGATCAGCCAAGTTGAGCATCTTTTTACTCGAGTACTACGCTTTTACTAGAGCAAGTACGACGATAATTCGAAAAGTAAAAAATTAAATTGCCAAAGAGGTGGTACAGTAGCAACCTCTTCGTGTGGTATCACATTGTTGAAATATTATGTGTAAGACACCGGCGAAGCACCAGACATCACCGAGTATTCCCGCTGTTAAAAAGGCAGAAATAAAGATCTTGGCGCTGATGTTTAATGCAGACGCCGATGTTGAAATCGTCATAAAGACATGTTGAAAACTCCGGGGACCCCATCTAATGAAACCCTGAACCCATATGTTGAACTTTTGGTATCACATCGTAAACTCATCATAAGAAAATGGACGGACAACAATCGACAGATTGTTCTCTCCGAGACGACGGGTTGAAAATCGTCGCCCCAATCATGGGCTGATTAAATATGTAAAAAGAATTTAGTTGCTGTGCTTCTCGCGGAAGTACTTGGCAGCCGCGACCATGTTGCTCAGGGCAGCCTTGGTCTCGGGCCACTGACGGGTCTTCAGACCACAGTCAGGGTTGATCCAGAGCTGCTCAGGGCGGAGGTACTGGAGCATCTCCTCGACGCGGTCCTTGATCTCCTGCTCGCTGGGAACACGGGGAGAGTGGATGTCGTAGACACCAGGACCGATGTGGCGAGGGTAGGCCTCGTCGATGAAGACCTTGAGCAGCTTGGCATCAGACTTGCTGTTCTCAATGCTCAGAACATCGGCATCCAGCGCAGCGATGGCGTGGAAGAAGTCCTGGAACTCGGAGTAACAGAAGTGAGAGTGGATCTGAGTACCGTCGGTAACACCAGCAGTGGACAGGCGGAAAGCCTTGACGGCCCACTCGAGGTACTTCTCACGCTCCGTGCCAGCACGGAGAGGAAGACCCTCACGGAGGGCGGGCTCATCGACCTGGATGACCTTGACACCGGCAGCCTCGAGGTCAACAACCTCATCGCGGAGGGCAAGAGCCAGCTGCTGAGCCTGGATAGACTGGTGCACATCGTCACGGGGGAAAGACCAGCGGAGACAGGTGATGGGACCAGTGAGCATACCCTTCATGGGCTTCTTGGAGATCGAGACGGCGTACTTGGACTCCTTGACGGTCATGGGAGCGGGACGGGAGATGTCACCGACAATGATGGGAGGACGCACGCAGCGAGATCCGTAGCTCTGAACCCAGGCGTGGGTGGTGAAGACGTAACCGGTGAGGCGCTCACCGAAGTACTGGACCATGTCGTTACGCTCGGGCTCACCGTGGACGAGAACGTCCAAGTCGAGCTCCTCCTGGATCTTGACGACCTCCTCGATCTCCTGCTCAATGAACTTCTCGTACTGCTCAGCGGTGATCTCACCCTTAGTGAACTTGTTACGCTGGACACGGATCTCCTTGGTCTGGGGGAAAGATCCGATGGTGGTGGTGGGGAAGAGAGGAAGCTTGATGGACTTGGTCTGCTCGGCGATACGGGTGGTGAAGGGAGACTTGCGGTTGTGCATCTCCTCGGTGACGGCGGCCTGGCGGGCCTTGACCTCAGGGTCGTTGGTGCGCTTGGAGGAAGCACGGGCCTGGACGGACTTGGCGTTGGCCTCGAGCTGCTCGCGGACAGCAGCAGGGCCCTCGGTAACAGCCTTGGCGATCACAACAACCTCGGACAGCTTCTCAACAGCGAAGCTGAACCAGTCACGGACCTCAGCATCCAAGTTCTTCTCGCTCTCGAGAGTGTGGGGAACGTGGAGGAGAGAGCTGGAGGTGGCAACAATGACGCGCTCCTTGCCGAGCTTCTGGATGGCGAGCTCAACCTTCTCGATGGCAGCCTTGAAGTTGGTCTTCCAGATGTTACGGCCGTCAACAACACCAGCAGACAGAATCTGCTTGGAGCCGAGAGCACCGACGACAGTGTCGAGCTGCTCAGGGTTGCGGACAAGGTCAATGTGGATACCGTAGAGGCTCTGGAGAGCAGGAAGAACATCAATGTTGTGAACAATGTCACCGAAGTAGGTGGCAAGGACGAGGCGGGGAGCCTTGTCACCAAGGGCACCGAGCTTCTCGTAGGCGGGCTTGAAAGCAGCCTTGGACTTGGCAGGGAGGTCAAAGACGAGGACGGGCTCATCAATCTGAACATCCTCGGCACCGGCCTCCTTGAGCTTAGCAAGGAGCTCAACGTAGAGGGGAAGGAGCTCCTCGAGCTTGGAGATGGGGTCAATGGTCTGGCCACGGTCGGCCTTGGCGAGGGTGAGGAAGGAGACGGGACCCAGGATGACAGGGCGAGTGACAACACCAGCCTCCTTGGCCTCGAGGAACTGGACAACGGGCTTGGGCTCAGCAGCGAGCTTGAAGGTCTGGTTGTCCTGAAGAGTAGGCTTGACGTAGTGGTAGTTAGAGTCGAACCACTTGACCATTTCCTGGAGACAGTATTAGCCTTGATCGTATCCAACATGCTTTGAAGCGTATCATACCAAAGCGGGAACATCGACAGCGGCCTGGCCATCCTTGGCGGGTCTCTGGAGACCACGGCCCATGGCGAAGTACTCATCGAGAGGGTCGAGACCGTACTTGCTGTAGCGCTCGGGGATGACCTATGAAGAAGAATGTTAGCCAAGATGCCTGGGCATGAAGCAGAGGGGCTTAGACATACACCGAAGAGCTGGATGTGGTCGAGGACCTGATCGTAGAAAGCGAAGTCGTTGCTGGGGATGATGTCGACACCAGCCTGCTTCTGGAGCTTCCAGTGCTCAGCACGGAGTCTCTTTCCCTCGCTCAGGAGCTCATCACGAGAGATCTTTCCACCCCAGTAAGCCTCAGTAGCCTTCTTGAGATCACGGAGCTTTCCCATACGGGGGAAACCCAAGACGGAAGACTGAACCATCTTGACGGATGTGTGTGAATGTATGGGGGGAGAAAGGGAGAGGGTTTGTGGATGGAGTAGTGAATGAGTTGCAAGGCACACAACACAAGGAAGAACAGACAAGAAGAATCAATCCTCTTGCTGGGAGAGAGATGAGAGATAGAGATAGAGAGGGAGAAAAACACACGGGAGAGATGAAAGAGAAAGAGAAGAGAAGAAGATGGAGGAGGAAGGGGGGACGGAGGGGAAATATAAGCTGGGAGGGGGAGGGGCAGGGGAGGCGGAAAACCTCAGGCTACAACCACTGCTTGTACTGCCTGTACTGCCTGTACTGCCTGTACTGTACCAAAGAAGAAGAAGAGAAAAAAAAATTCATAAAACATCGGAGGCCGAAGGTTTCTTTCTTCTTTCTGACTGGGTCTGTCTGGATGGGATGGCGGAAAGTTTGGCGGGGTTTCGTGGCCGGTAATAACCGGTAAAATTACAGCCCCTCCGGACTGTCAACAACCCTCCGATAGCGATTCCCCGGTTGGACATTCAAAAAAGTTCAAGGTTCAACTTGGGTATCTTTGCCTTGATCTAATCGCATTATCAAATCATTGTCCATGGACCGACTGCGGAGAGTGCCCTCCCATGGTATCCCGTGGCCCCTCGGACTGCACGTTCTCATTCTCATGCATCGAATGCTCATCAGTAAGGCCAATGATTGTCTCGTTTGTCTCAATTGTTCTATGCAAGAAAACTGTAAGGAATGTGTATTGAACTACGGAGAACTACTGGTAAGGACAGTCAATCATCTCGCCGAAGTATGAGGCTAATCCAGCAATCGAATAGTGCCAAATGGCGTGATCAAGTCAATCGGATGGGAAAAAAAAAAACCAAAAACCAAAAGACCCAAAAAGACCCCCCAAAAAGTTAATTAACCCAGGGTAAATCGTTTGAGTCACAGCCAGTAGTTAAGTTAAGCTAGCCAGTAAGTTAGCCAGTTGCGAGGGACCGGCCGGTCGCAGTCCGGAGAAACCATCGGAGACGGTCTGGCTGCGTCCGCGATCGGCCACTAAAAGCCAGGGCCAGATGCCTATTTGGAGGGAGATTGTAACTTGTAGGTAAAGTTATTCATTCCGGTGACTTTGGTAACCTTGGATGACTATGATTTGCTTCATCCGCGATGTTCTGTGTAAACAATTGCCACTTCAGTAAAGCTCCAACAATCTGACTGATTTCAATTTGTCCGAAGCATCAGCCATGTTGGATAAGGATCCCCGCTTCCATCATTCGGAGCTCCGGCGAGTGAGTTCGGAGACCAATTTGTTGTCCGACGCTGGGAACCTTTACTTGAGCCCTCTCCCCAGATCGCTGCAGCAGTCTGATTGTTGCTTCGTTTCGGACACATGCTGGATAGACTCCTAGTCTATACTTACCTAGTAGTACGTTGTCTTTCCATTCTGATGAATTGGACTCAAGCAAGAATACGAACGCGCCTGCCTCAATTAGGGTCTGGCGATTCTCACGCCACGCTCCCCCCCCCCGCCTTCCCTATAGTAGCAACTCGAGATGATTGCAAAGGTAGTCATGGGAGGTTTGGTCTTCTCCATGCTCGTGCGCTCATGGGTCACTTTATGGCTTCAATTGCCACAGTCGCCATCTGATCAACACTGCTGAACACTCCGCGGCGGTCATCGACAATGGGGATTTTCTTTTGCCCCCGACTCCGCGCGTACTGGAAGAAACCAGACCCGCCAGGAACGGGGCCTGCGTACCCACTGCATCCAGTCACTTCGCCTCCAAATGGAGCTGTGGAAAGTGGTCAGGGTAGTGGTACAGCGTGACTCAATCCCTGCCTGTAAACTCATCTGTTAACGGTTCGCTCGTGATAGCTCAATTCACCTCCAGAGAGGATGCCGTTCGCTTCTCCTCCTCTAAGACCTCCGCCGGTGGCTTATCGGAAAAATTACGCAAGCGATTCTCGAGAGAACACAAAGGCCTCCATGAAGCCCCCACGAGGGCCGCGAGGAAATCGGGATCCCCTACCTTGCGCGATCCGTCGAGATTTGCCAGTAAACGGCTGGACACCATCTCCCCAGTTGGTTTTGGAAGCAGTTTGATGAGCGAGAGGGGCTATGACAGTGACGCTCAGTTCATCAGCACCCCAAAACAAATCAATCGCACGCCAGATCGCTTGGTCGCGGAAAATCTCGTACACGAGACAACCTCGCTGTCCAAGCTTCAATCTCGTGGGGACGGAAGGAACGGTCAATCTGCCCCAGGCAGTACATCTGGTGTATCGAATGGAGACTCGGTGAACGCACCTGGAGTAGACCAGACTATACTGGAAGGAACACGAAATCCTTGGTCTTCCATGGACCAGGCAATCTGGGCCATCCATCCGACACCAACGCCCCCTTTCTCCCGTGTGGGAAGCAGTGCAAGCCGTCGGGTCCAAGCCGCACAACCTTATCATGCTGGGTTCATGACTCCGAGGTCAACAGAGTGTGTGCCATGGGACAAGCAGGATGGATACTCTTCACCTTCTCCAGTTGGGACCCCAAAGCTGTCAAACCCCCTACATAGCTCTCCAACTATCCCCGAGGGCAACCATTTTTCGTCCTCGGGATGTTATGAGTATCGCTCGAGAACTCCAGGCCACGCCTCCCCGGTACCAACGCATTACACGACATCTATAGACTCGCTAGCTGGGCCCTCAACGGGGCTTTCGGTTAGAAAGAGAAGACAACAACCTCCATTGTCTGCCTCCGGCAATGCTTCCGTTCATCTCGAGGACATGGAGATTCATAGGATGCTTGCATCTCGTACAACCTCTCCTCGGGTTCTCTCAACGAAGCAATCCTTCGAGGGAAATCCATGGGCTAGTGATGTCAGGCTGCGGAAGCCAACGCAACAGCTTATTGATGATGGCCCAGTGGCGGGCAAAGGCAAGGCAAGAGACGTAAGTGAACCGACATATAGGCCCTTTCCACACCAGACATCTTCCTGCTATTCTCGACCAGACAGCCAGTATTCGGCTGGGTCCAGAATATACTTGGGCAAGGCAGAAATAGCGCACAACACGACGCCGGTAGAGAGACAATCCCAAAGAAGCCTTCATCCTACTCGAGACTGCTCACCCCAGCTGCTGGAAGATATAGCCAATGCTGAGTCTGCGAGTTCCAGACTCGTCCATGACAATACGACTAGTGCGCTAGCCTCGTGCGGCAGATTTGTAGAACAGATTCACTCGGACCTTTCAGTCGCTTCGTCAAACATCAGCTTTCCAACTAACATTGACGCAGATCTTGTATCGCCCCGGAAAGTGAGCGTGGGCTGGATGTCTGGTGGACGGCGTCTTGGCTATGGGTACACATTAGTATCCGCTGCTGAAGAAAACGACAGGCCCTCAAAAGAACAGTCCGGTCCATGTGCGATCAACGGTTCAAGCCAAGACGCGACACCGGAGACTGATACGCAGACTGAGAAGGCAACCCTTGTCGAGGACCAGCCACAGCAGCAGGATATAACGTCGCTTTCGAAGAAAGCAGGAACTGGTCTCGATATCTCTTCCATCATTGGCCACATCAATCTTCGCAGTTGGTCCGGCGCAACTAATGAAACTGCAGGCGATGAGTCACTAAAGTCCTCTCTTCTGGGGAAATTTTCAAAAAGGAAGAAGGATCACTCCGACCCAGAGCCATCAGCTGGCGCAAAGGACCCTTGGGATTTCTGCGCCTGGGTCGATCCTAACCAATCTCCAAGCGAGCAACAGCCCCCACAAGCGAGTCCGTCGGCATCCAGTATGAGCACAGAAGGACGCGGGATGTCTCTGGGAAGATGGTCGACTCTGCGTCGCACCGGAAGTCTATGGGCCAAGGGCCGCAGTATGTCTGCGATGGCGCGCGACCTGGAGGCCAAAGCAACTGCCAAGTTAAACGCATCGGCCGGGCGGTTCCCAGTGATACAAAAGAAAGACGGGCGAGCTATGAAATTCCGGGTCTTGGATCGTAAACGCCGAGCACAAACAGACGAGGATGGTGAGCCGATGGTTCCTCTTAAGCAATGGCCCGGCGGAAAGCACAAGTCTTCTCACGAGGAAGATGGACCAAGCAGTCCCAGCGTAGACCCGGTTCGCAAGCAGTTCTCGGAACAGACTGGCTCGACTGTAGTCACTGATGGCTGGGAAAGCAACTATCAGGATTGTGAGGAGATCTTTTCTGTAGGTGAGTGAGTCGATGAGTATGTAACCTGTGTGCTGGGCTCGAGGGCTTGAAGACAATTCTATTGGTAGTAAACGCTTTGTATCGAAGACTCGGTGGGCCTGCTTCAGGGCAGACTAGTCAACACTGACCATGGGAGAGATATGACAGGGTTGGATTGTTGTGTATTGATATCTCGGTTTGTGGCGAGCAAGAATGCATACGTTAGACAAGACGCTGGGGATATTCGCTTTATACATACCAGATGCGGAGGGAGGGGGGCCGATCAAAGGACCTTGTGGACAGGGCCGGGAGCATGTGATGAGGTGACCATCACCCCTTGAAGTCATTGGAAGTTTATGCAATTTTAGTCTGCAATCCTGGAAAGCAACCGCGCAGGGTTTCATATAATCGTACAAAGGTATATATTAAAGCATCAAGACGCCCCCGAATTCCTTCCCAATCAAAACGCCCTTGCCCGAAACACACAACTCGAGGCCCTAGGCCTTATTTTTTTTGTCGCTTGTTGCTCTTGTCGCTTGCATTGCTCAGAACACTGGCCGAGCGTTTGTGCGACGCTCCATCCTGCCCCTCCGTCAAACCAGCCGGCACACCACTCGTCCCTTTCACTTCTGCTGCTGGCTCGCCCTCCGCCTGGGCCGCAGTGGCCGGACCCTTGGGATCGGGGGCCGTGGCGGCCTCGGCGGCAGCATCAGCGGGGATCAGCGGCGGGCCGTCCTCGTCCTGCTGCTCGGACTTGACCTCGGGTTTGCTAGTGGAAGTGGACGTGGTGGAGGTCTTCTCCTGCTGAGATTCCTTGGTCTTGCGCTCGCGCTCCTCCTTGGCGGCCTCGAGCACGCGGATCTCGCTCTCCACCTTCTCGGCGACCTTGCGCGCGTCGAGCAGCAGGTTGACCGAGTGGATGAGCTTCTCGAACTCCTTGCACACGCGCTCCGTGGGCATGACGAGGCGGAGCGGCACGGCGAGCTCGGCCAGCGCGGCCGCCAGCTTCTGCGTCTGCACGTTGGATTTGGCCTGCGTGAGCTTCTGGGCGCGATCGCTGCGGAACTGCACGCCGGGGGCCAGCCGCTCGTGGTGCTGCACGCCGTACTTGGCCTCCTCGGCCGGGGTGAGCGTCTTGACGGTCTTCTCGGCTTCCTTGGTCGCGGCTGCCGCGGCGGCGGCGGCAGCGGCGGCGGCGGCCTTCTTGTTGGTGGGGGCGGCAGCGGCGGTGGCGGTGGTGGCGGGCGCGGAGGCATTGGGGGTATCGGCGCGGCTGTCCCGGGCACTGCCGGGGGCGTTGGAGGCGGGAGTCTGCCCGGCCGGACTGGGGGCGGCGCCGGCGCTTTCGGGGCCCAGGATCGAGCGACGCTTCTTGCTCTTGTCGGCTTGGAGGAGGGTCTGCAGGAGCTGCGAGAGACCCTGGCTGGACTGGTACATGGTGGTGTTGCCGACGCTGATGGGGACCTCGAGGCGGGAGTAGAGCTCCCGGCGCTCTGTGATGAACTCTTGCTCGTTGGCGGTGATGCGTTTGAGCTCTTCCAGGAGGATACTCTCCTCGCGGACTTCGTCGGCGGTGCGGTTGAGCTGCAGGGCCGCGAGCTCCTTGCGGGAGCGCTCGCGTTCCGGGTCGAATTTCATCATCTTCTCGTGCAGTTCGAATTCGGCCTCGGACATCTCGGACGGTGGGTGCTCGAGGGCGAGCATGGATGCGGCGATGAAGTAGTAGCGAGCTTTCAACTGTTCCATTGTCCGATATCGTTTGGCCGGGACGAGGGCCGTTGTGTTCGTCTCCGCGTCGACGGGATGCGGTTGGTAATCGTAGCGGTCGGCGATCACCACCCAGCGGAGATCGTACTCCTCGACCAAGTCCATCAGGTAGTCGGTCTCCTGGCGAGTCCAGTCGTCATTCTTCAAGTGGCGGTTGTACTCTTCATCGGTGTAGCGGTTCGGCACGCGCGCTTTGATGTTGTATTTGGCGAACATGTAATCCTTCTCCACCGTCTCGGACGCGTTCTTGCCGTCGGTCTTGTCGTCCACTTCCATCTCTGATCCCTCTAGGGCGGGTTTCGCGGGCTCGTTCTGCCGTTGCCAATGGCGCAGCACGAGACCGTCCGATCGCGCGCCGTTCTCGAATGGCGCCATCCGCCTGAGTGTCAAGCCGTGTTAGTGACTCGCTGAAGCGAATGATGAGGGAGTGGTCCTACCAAGGGCGGACACGCATCTTGCTCATCCATTTGGGACGGCCCTTGTAGCGGTTCTCGTTGATTGCGATCGGAGGTGCCCGCTCACCTAGTAAGGCGAAGAGCTCACGAGTGATACCCTCTAGACTCGAGATAATTACGTTAGAAATTCCTTGGTATGAAGTTCAAGCACGGCAGCCTACCTGGTCTCTTCTCGGTCACTTTCTGCTTCTTCAGCGGACGTGGCTGGCCCTCCGCGGGCAAATCCAGCATGTCGCGAACATCGGCGGCAGCCATGACGGGCGGGAACCCGGGACGATCGGGAGAGGGAGAGGGTGAGAGATCGAACCAAGCGTAGAGAATTTATTCAAGATTTAAGTCGAGCAATAAATGCGATGGAGGGTGATGACAGCTATTAGGGGAACGACCGAGTTGAATGAGAAAGAGGGGAGGGGGGGGTGGAGTGGGCGGAGGGAGGACTTGAAGAGAGGATGAATTCGCGCCAAGACCGACTCGGGCCAGTTCTTCTTGTCTTGTTGGTTTCAACTGCTGCTGCTGCTGCCATCCTAATCTGTCCTTCTCTACTTGCTCTGCCAGTCGACCTCCCCCTCCTCCACTTTACCTTTTCTTTTTGTTTCCTCCCCCTCCTTTTCATTTACTCGGACTCTTAGGTCAATTTACTCCTGGATCTGGATCGCATCATGGCTCCGTCTCGATCATCGGCCTCATGGCTCTCCTCTGCGCTGGCCGTATGTGCCATCCTGTGTCTGTCGATGCCCGCCAACGCCCTCTACTTCTTCATGGACGGGCGCCAAATCAAGTGCTTCTATGAGGAGCTTCCCAAGGACACCCTCGTTGTCGGTCAGTAATTTGGCCGGCAAGATCATCAATTTCACACCCAAGCTAATCCAAAGCAACAACAGGCACCTACTCCACGGCCGTCATCAACGAACAATCGAACACGTATATCGTCGACCCCAACCTGAAGATGCTCATCACCGTGGACGAGATCTTCGACAACGACCACCGCGTCGTCTCCAAGCGCGACGGCCACTCGGGCCGCTGGACCTTCTCCGCCGCCGACGCCGGCCTGCACAAGATCTGCCTCACCCCCGAGACCAACGCCGCCACGGGCGGCTGGCTGTCCGGCGCCCAGGCCGGCGCCGTCCAGGTCACCCTCGACATGGCCATCGGCGAGACCAGCAAGATCGAGTCGGAGGACAAGGACAAGATGCAGGACATTGTGCAGAAGGTCAAGGACCTGAACGGTCGCTTGCAGGATATCCGGAGAGAGCAGGTGTTCCAACGGGTATGTGCCCTGACTTCCCCCCTCCTGAACCCAGTTTTGTGCTTTCAACTATGACGCGATCCCCCCTCTCTCTATATGCACTGAGAACAGGCCCCACCCCGCCCTCTACGATCTCGGGGGTCAATGAAAGAGCTCGCTAATCCAAAAAAAAATTAACAGGAACGTGAGGCCGAATTCCGCGACCAGTCCGAGGCTACCAATTCCCGCGTCGTCCGGTGGACCCTGATCCAGCTGTTCGTTCTCTCGGCCGCTTGTGCCTGGCAACTCTCGCATCTCCGCTCTTTCTTCATCAAGCAGAAGCTCACATAAATGTCCATGTCGATCGGACGAAAGGGGGGTTCTTTTCTTTCGAGCTGTGATTTTGTTTCTTCTCGTTGGTTCTGTGGGGCAATGAAAGAAGATTGAGGGAGAGAGAGGGAGAGAATATTACCAAATCGGGCCCGGTAGCTTTATATGATCGGTATTTTCTTTTCAGCGATGTAATAAACTTTTCTAAGTCGTTCGTATTTCCAAATGTTTGTTTGTTTGTGTCTTACGGGGACATGACATGATCCATATTATCTTCTTCACGCTTAGGCTGTGCTACTATGTTCAAAGATGTCTAGTCAAGGAATATAAGGTGATCTTAGCGTTCTCAAGGTGTTTGGTTGGTCAGTTGAGTTCTTGATGTGGAGTATAGATTTCGTCTGCATAGGCTGCTCGGAGTATCCCAAGTGAGCCGTCAGGTATATATCAATTGGACGAGGCCCATGAGATCCCCAACAAAACTGTGCAAAACATGACTTATCCCGCCCATTCAGCACACAACAGTACGAATGGACTATTTACCACCGCTTATCTATTTATCATGACTGTCAATGCAGTGGCATCGAATTCAACCCATGTCAATAAGAATCATCATCGAATTGGATTTATTATATTCCAAGTCCATCGAGCTCTCGTTTATTTAGCTCTCCGTTTTTGCCCCTGGTCATAGATCATTAAGGGTGCACAAGATCGCTCATTCAAACATCAGCAACGGAAAAATTATCTATAGAACATCACGTGGAGAAAAAGGAGTCCACGAAAGAAGACAATACTAGTCTGGCCCGAGTGGGCGGTAGCAAAAGAGTCGAAAGGAAGGTCAACGGTGAGGTATCAAGCGAGAAACAGAAAAGAACAAGAGTTTCAAGAACAAACAGAAAATGGACGAGTTCATGCATTCATCGAATCATCGTGCGGCCGTGCGGTATTGTTGCTGCAAAAGCCCAGGATCAGCCGTTCCAAGTCCGAGAGCTTGTACGGCTTGGTCATGTAACCCTTCATGCCAACCTTCGTGGCACGGTTTAGAGCCTCGTCTGTGACATCGGCACTGACAGCCAGGACTGTGGGAGGTTGTGTGTCGGTAAGGTGCTGGTCAGTCGGAGTATCGGAGGCAAGCTTGCTCCGGTGTTCTTCAACCATCCGTAGAATCTTGGATGTGGCCTCGTAGCCATCCATCTCTGGCATCCAGAGATCCATAAGTACCACGTCCACTAGTTTTCGTGTCTTGGTTTGACTGGGTGGTTTGGGAACCGTGAAGCCGTCGGACTCATTCACTAGCTTCGAATCCTCAATCGGGCTTTGTTGGCCAGGACGCTGTGCCTCAAGAACATCTTGCATGATGCGGACGGCTTCCTTGCCGTTACAAGCCTCATATATGTCTCTGTAGCCAAGTCGCTTCAACATGTGCACTAAGACTCGCCGATTGATCTTATTATCCTCTGCCACCAGAAACGTCAAGGGATGCTTCTCCCCGAGACGGCTGTCGTGAGTATCACCGTTGATGTGGCGCTGTGGTGGTGTGCTCCTGGGAGGCGGGGGCGCAGGCGTTGTAGCCAGCGACAGTGGCTCATCAGTCAGAAACGGAGATGGCTGCTGGACCTGTGAGCCAGGTGTCCGCGGGGTAGGCAACAATGAGGAAAAGTCTGGCGTGATATTGTTTGCATTGCTCAGCCGCATCGTCTCAGTGAGCTGAGGAGGTGTAAGAAGTTTTGGAGGCAGCAAAGGTCGGTCCGCTGAAGGCTCAGGCTGATTGGCGGGGATTCTAATCTCAAACTCCGAGCCACGATCAGGCCCCGATGTCGAGGAGCGGACACAAATGAGATCACCACCCATTTTCCTAGACAATCCCTTGGCTACAAGGAGACCCAAGCCAAGCCCATCTTTACTGCGGGTAGTGGATGTGTCTTCACGGGCGAATGGCCTGAAAAGTTTAGGTAAGAAATCATCCGGGATACCTGGCCCGGTGTCCTTGATGCTTATCAAGACATCGTTCGCCTTGCGGCCAACCGTGGCAGTCACTGTGATCATACCGCTGTTGGTGAACTTGACAGCATTGAGAAACACACAAGATATCAACTTGGCCAGGTCTCGGTCATCCACGAATAGAGTCTCTGGAAGGGCCGGGTCGACAGACCAGTCGATTGTCTTCGAAAAGACCTCACCATTAGATGACCGCGAGCGGACTTCGATCCGCTCTCCTTGCTCTGTCGCGTTACTCACAGCGAAGTCGGGTCGACCACCCACATGCAAGGACTCGTTGATGACTAGGCGGAGTAGATCACGGAGTTTCGTCATTCTCAGAGCTGGAACTTGCTGATTGACATTAATGCCTTCGAGTAGCAAGTGCGGTGCCGAACGCCGAACAGCTAGAGACGGACGGGGATCAACCACGTTCGCCATTACTGCTTCAATCTCGTGAGCAGGAGTAGCCTTAAGCAGTTTTTCACTTTCATGAACCGCATTTTTGACCTCTTCGCTGCGAGGCGAAAGACCTCTGGGAGCGGAGACCCGCGGCGCTTTTGACTTTGGTGGCTGACCAGCATTCCAGTCCGGAGGGTTACTGCGTCGTCGCTTGTACGGATTGACTGTGATGTTGCTCCTTTCCCCGAAAATGGTCGGTCGACCCTCGCTCGCACCAACCGGGCTCTGCGACGGACCACTGAAGAAATCGTCCCTTTCACACTGGGGGGTCTTGGGGACCTGCATGTTCATGTCGTAGGCATGAACAACATTGTCCGCCGCCTCGACTGCTCTGCGTGCACTATCTGTACCGCCCAAAATATTGGAAATCAGCATGAAATTCACATAGGCGATGGGAATCTGAGACTGACCTTGGACCATTTCAATACTCTCCTTAAGGGTGCGAAAGACAAATCCAGCCTTCGGCGATGGCTTGTCTTGGATGGCTTCGCGTACCGTAGCATGCATGACGTCCAGCATCCCGACCACCCCCTGCATCGGTGTCCGAAGCTCGTGGGACAAGCTCCTCGCGTAGGGCTTCAGTGGCTGCGATGAGAAGTCTGCAGATCCATGGACAACCCCGATATTCACATCGCCGACAACGCATGTCTTGCCTCCAGAAGAGTTGGTGCTCTCTTGACCGGAGTTCACAGTAACTGTAGGGTCCACGTCGTCGCGAATCCGCTGAACAACCAAGTCTTCAAGAGAATACAAGATCATCTCGAGAAGCGACCACGAAAGGTTACGCTTTTGCAAGCCCGGTTCCGACCACATGAGTCCAAAAAAGGCCAGACACTTTGTTCCTGAGAAGAGCGGTACAGCCAGGTATCCCTCGGCGGCAAATGGAAGCTGATCCCGGTCAAAAGAAATGAAGGATCCTAATTTCTCAGGGATTAGACATGGCTTCTCGCGGTCCATGTGCGAGAGAGGGTTTCCGCCAGCGAAGTACCTGCGTCTGTGCATGCCTGCTGTGCGGTGTCCATCGTTATAATAGAAGGCTGTACCAAACAACATCGTTTTGTGGCCCTCTATCTCATTCACGGATTCATCGTCCCGAGCCCTGCGAGCAACGAATACATATTGAGCCTTGCATATAAGACTGATTTGCTCCATTAATTGATGCCAGAATGTTTCCGAATCCAAGGGACGAAGTTCTTGCTTTAGCTTCACCAGCCTATCGATTGCGAAACTCTGGGGTCCACCGATATACCGGCGACCGGACGAATCGGCCTGCGCATCGTCGTCAAGAAAGGTAGTTGCAGGCACATCACCGGGAAGGCACTGAGTCGGGAGCAAGGACATGGTAGGACCAGATGCGAATGAGGTTGACCATTCGGGTTCCGCTGAGTCGGGCATGGTGTCCCGAGGGGGTTGATCGCCCTGTATGGATGGAATAGTTGATGTGTCCAAAACAGATTCCACCGCGAACGAGACTTCGGGTCCTGGCAAATTATAATATAGGAGGGCGCCAGGAAACCGAAGGAGATTGATGAAAGATCAGCGAATTACGACCGGATTCTATGGAAGGGACACAGCGCATGGCGTTCAGTCTGGGGTTGTCCAGAAAATGTTAGCAAGCGGGCATCACGAGCAAACAAAGGTGCTTTCGACCAGGTGTTCTCCGCGGAGCACATCTCGAGCAAGCCCATGCTAAAACCAATCAAAACGTACATCACTTAAGCTGGTCAAGTCGAAGCCCACGCTGAGCGACACCGCGCGGCGGTGGAAGGGAAAATTGGGCGAAGAGCAGGCAGCTGTTGGCAATAGAAATTTCTGCAACAAGGCTGCTAAGAAGGATTATTTATTGGTTAGATGCCGGGCTATTATCGAGAGCAATCGAGGTTCTTGTTTTTATGATTGTTCTGGAAACGTTGAAGTTTTCCTTGTTTTTTTCTTCCGTGTTTTGACTCTGAAGTTTCTGTAGGGGAATTGGCGGATGTCTCGGTTTAAAGTGCCGAACCAGCGTTGGTGATTCTAACTGTTATGAAAGATTGAATATTCCAGGGATCTGCTGACAGGATGTTCAATTGATGAAAGCCAAGATCGGTCATTGACACGAACAATCCGCGGTTGAGGTGCAGCGCAGGAAGGGCGAGAGAAGGCCAGCATGCGAGAGATTATGGCACGGGGACAGGAAACTCGGGGGAAGGAAGTTTAGGGGACAAGCAAGAGGAGGTCCAGAACAGGGTGGGGAAAGCAAATATTATCAGATTGGAAAGAGACACAAAAGACTACTTGAAGTAGTTTAGATGTAGTTCATGGTGCTAAGCCGGTTAGTACAATAGCAAACGCAGCGGCAGGAAGATTGATGAGGAGAGGAGGAGGTTCAAGGATAGTTGGAGGAGTTGGCATGGGCATTGGGAAGAGGGGAAAAGAAAGTGACTGAGAAATCGATGGGGCCAGTTTGGGCCGATCGCCGGGTCTAGACGCGGGGAGGCTGAAACTTCCCCCCTTCTTTTCCTTCTGCTTTTCATCGTCTTCATGTCAATTGATAGATATCTTCACGAATGTCTCCCCGAAACCAATCGACATATACATGAGAGTACGATCTACTTCTGACTTCTTTCTTGTTTACTGGAAGGGGACCATGGATGAGAAACTATACGATGGACCCAGGAAGACCGTCACTTGATGTCTCCGGGGCATCAATCCATGGACCGACCGACCATCTGCCGCTTGTCCCGGCCCAGACTTGATTGACTCTTTCCTCGACCGGCAACCAAACAACCTGATCGAATCTCTCTCTCTCTCTCTTTTCAGCCACGTCGTGCGGCGTATTCCTCCCTCCTGTAATACCACAGCGCTATAAATGGCCATCATCTGCAACTCGGAACAACCGGACGAAGCAAAAACCAAAGTAAAATTGATCTGCCACGAGGAGTCATTGACTACCTCTGTTCCCTTTGTGGGATATGCATAGATCACGAAGAACACAAAGATCTCAAAACTTAAGTCACCGCGCACCTGACTCTATGATTTCCCAATCAACGAATCATCCGACCTCGTCCGACACTTTGTTTGTTCCTTTCATCTTCACTCAGTCTTTTGTCCCATCGCGCCCCACGCTGCTCATCGAAGACTGGTAGATCCCCTGATACCCCTCGACCTTTTCCCCCAGTTCCTCGAAGACAATCTGGGCGAGCTTGGCATTTCGGTAAAGCACCACTCCATGGGGGTTCTTGACCTCCAGTAAAGCCCCCATCGCACCCTCATATCCAGCGTCGACCACGCCGGCCGCGATCCCCATGCCAGACCGCCAGAGCGACGATCGGGGAAATACGCTTCCCATGCAATTCCGCGGGACGTGGACGGTTTCGTTGAAGTCGACTAAGTAGGCGCCTGGCTGTAGTGTGATCGCGTGGCTGGTGGTGTCGAAGGGCAGGCGAGATGTTTGGGCTGCTTGACGCTTGGTATTGTCGAAGTCAATGGCTGCCGCGGAGGCCCATTTGGAGACCTGGCGTAGAGTAAGGTCGACTCCGCAGGGTTGTCGTTGCTGGGGAACGTGCCGTAGGTTGCGCACCAACTGGCGGGTAACGACTTCGAGTCCGCTGAGAATCATGGTGTAGTTCCGCACTTTGCATGGGTCTGACCAGCTTGAGGACTGCGGATTGCGAATGCTGGTATGCTGTAGCTGGTTGGAGGGAGGTAAGAAATAATTAGGGGGGCTAGGTTGACAAGGGTCTTAGGCAGTCCGCTTCCTTTGAACTATGTGATAGATCTCGCTTTTACACCACTCATGTTCCACCTTTCTCTTCCTCGAAGCATAAACATCATGCATGGCCTTGTCGATTGATTCCTGTACTTTGCACGCTGAGCCCATCATCGTCCCGTCCTTCAGTCGTTAGCCTGCTGAAAGCTCCTCAGGTCATGATGCTGTAACGATACACCAGACCATGCTCGAAGCACTGGCTATACCTCTACAAACTCATCTATCACGTACCAGTGCAGTTTTCAGGCGCATGTCAGCCGAGATCAGCATACCGCAAGCCAGCTCTCCTCTATTAAATGATAAATTCATGGATTGATTATTCATACACGCATATATCAGCCAAAGGCCGAGTAGAGGCAGGTCGCAGTATACCTCAACAGGCCGGTTATAAATATCTAAATTAACTTCTACTATGAAAAAATAGCAAGCTCTTAGACTTCTATCCCCGTTTTAACTCATTATGAGTCATATAAACCAATTCTTGTTATATAAAACATTCTCTCTGGCTTGACTAGACTATATCGATTAATATTCTTAAAGTATATCAGTATACAACTTGTACTCGAGTTCCTCTTACTCTTATCTATAGTCAAAGCCAACGCCGGCTATTCTTGTCTTCTTAAGATTACAGTTTCTCCGGGACTAGCCTAGGGTTTGTACTTGTAAAGGGACTACTACTATTAGTCGCCGTATACAAGGCCCCAATTCTCGTCGAGGTGCTGTTGGCCTCAAGGGACCTGACCGGCGGGGGACTCACAATTCTCCTCCGTCTTGTCAACAGACCCTAATCTACTTCGTCTCCTTCCCGGAAAGACGAGAACACATGCATACTTTATGTTCCACACCTACAGTCCCAGCCGGTGACAACGTGACCCTAAGCTGTCCAAGGTAGGAGGTCGGAGCCGTGCAACTCGTCGTTGGTAACAGGGTAGAAGCTTACAGTTCGCCCATCAACAGCCGAACCAAGGATTCATGGAGCAGTGGCTGACCTCGGGAGTGAGTACCGACGCACCAGAGTCGGGAGTTGCTCGAATCACACGCCTATCTTCTGGTACTAGAAGCCGGTACCTGAGCAATACCATGTAGCGCAATTTCTGCAAGATGAGTTGATCGCGGCTAGACCGCAAGCACCTAGGATATGCGTGTCATTGCCTGGATCCCCATACACTCTCAGCCTTGCCTCGGCAATATTGATGGCACCTAGATGGGGAGGGAGGATGGATGGAAGCGTCATATTAGAGAGCAGAACAATGAGCATAAGTGCCGCAAGGGGGGAAAATAACACAAATTCATGATCCAAGTAATTATCTCGTCTAATCCTGCCTTCCCTTCAATAGTCTCTTGGTAACCTTATCTTTCTCTATTATGTAAACCTGGGCACCCCAACCGGAAAGAGCGTCACGGTCGACCGCACTGAGAAGGGCTTGGGAGATGGTCTCGAACAGGTCCTCCGGAGCCTGTCAAGGGCAATCAATCCCAATTAGCAACTGATCCGATATGATTCCCCAACCGAGGAACAAGAAGAAACATACCAAGTCCGGCTCCCACAGACCCTCGCAAGTACCGAACAGTTGATCACTTGCGGTTCCGCTCACAATGAAGTCCTTGGCGAAATCGATACACCCAATGCTGTCGAACCCGCAGATGAAGGGCTTGCCCGTTGTGCTGTTGATGCCGGCAATGACGGGGCTGACGAAGAAAGGACCGAAACGCTTCTCGTACAACGACGAGCTGACCAGGTTGGCCAGGGTCTGGGGCGCGATGTTCCGCTCCTCGCGAAGACGGTACATGTTCACTTTGAAGCGGAAAAGGTCGGACACGGTCGCCACATCGGTCGCCAGACCCGTCAAGCCGAGGAAGGTCGAAGGGCCGTAGTTGAAAATCTTGGGGAAGTTGTTGGAGACGGTCAAGGCCTGCATGCCCAGGCGGAGATCGCAGGCGATGGCAACGCAGTCCTTGCCCACCATGGCGACGCAGGCACCGCCATCTGCGCAGCGGAGGGTCAGTCAATGTACAGATTTTCGAAATGTAGATTATCGAGGGTACGCACTGATATCGAAGGGAGAACTCTGGTAAAAACGGTTCGGTCAGCATGCTTGCTCAGCTCAGACCCTTGAGGTCACGCAGGGCCAACTTACCATGATTGGGGGGAAATTGTGAGTGGATTCAGGCGATACAGAGATCTGTAAAGGGATGAATTGTAGTAGAGAAGGTAGGGGTAGAGAGAATGAGGAGTAACAATGAAGCAGAGATGAAGGGGAAGATGATGGTTGGGAGGGCGAATGGATGGGCGGAGGATGGATGGAGATGGACGGAGTTGAACTGAAGCTCTGCCAGCAACGCGTGGAGCCGCCGAGCTTCTTCCGATGACGCTGGCGCCCGCTGCCTACACTCTAGTTATCTCAACTTCGGTTTGTCAGCCTTCAACCTTCCTTTCTCTTGTATATTTTGTTGACGCATATCTGTCTTCGCTTTGGAAGCTGACTGACATACATCAAACGAGCAACGTTAAGCTTCTTTCCAGCTATCTCAGCAGGCCTGCTGTTCTTTTTCTACTTGATTACCTCGACTGCCACACCCCGCAGCCTCGCATCATGAGCTCGCATGTCGTGGTCCTGGACTCGACAGCTCGAAGGGCTACTGTCAAGACTACCCCAAGCAAGCATCTGACTGACATACTGCAAGAGGCCTGCACCAAGCTTGGTGTAGATCCCAGTCAACATGGGCTGAAGTAAGACTCCCGCCCATAACACAACCCCGTCATAGTATCGATCCTATAAAGCAGTGTGCACTCAACTAACACCGTCTTTGTCAAGATACAAAGGCAAAGAGCTCGACATGTCGCTCGTCTTTCGACTGTCCGGACTTGCCTCCGGTGCTAAGTTGGAGCTGGTCCAGTCGTCTCGCTCCCCCTCGGTCGTCACAGTCGCGTTACAACTCCCCGAATCAGAAGCACGGGGAGCCCCCAACGGGCGGCTCATGGACAAGTTTCCCAGCACGACAACAATTTGGTTCATCTTGCGCAAATTCGAGGCGGGCGTTGCGGGCGGCACTTCGACCCGCAACCTGACGGGTCGCGGTGTACCAAGTGGCAACGAGGGCGCAGGTAGACTATATTACGAGACTCCGGTGGTTCAGGTCCTTCAGCGGGAACTGTCATCTTTTGCAGATTTCCAAAAGTCACTAGCACAACTTGGTTTCAACAGCGGCAACGTGTTACTAAGGCTCAGCTTCCGGCGGACGGAAGAGCCATTGGAGGAAGCGATGAGCAAAATCCAGGAATACTTCCAGACCTCCGAGGACCCAACCCCAAAGCAAGAGGAAGCGCCCGCATCTGCCGAAACGTCGCTGGAGAATGGCATCGCTGAGCAGCGGGATCCCGAGCCCGAGTCCACACCCGCCTCTACATCAGCGGCAGCACCAGCACCAGAGCAACTTACTACCCCTGCCCCTCAACCCACCATACCAGCCTCAGATCCGTCAGAAGTCCCCGCTGGTTTCTCGCGTCCCGTGACCGTCTTCTCCCCTCCATCCGGCGACACGCCTCAGTCCGCGCAAACCACCTACAACGAAGCCGATTACATCCCATCTCTGGACCACGCACAAGCCCACCAACGCCGCCTCAACGCCGCCTCACGACCCCAGCGACTCCCCACGGACGCCGAGATCGCCGCCAAAGCAGCCGCCGAGGAGGAAAAACGGGCCGCCATCGCCGATGTCGAGGTAAAGGTCCGCCTCCCCGACCAAAGCCAGGTCGTGGCCAGATTCGGCCGGGAGGACACGGGACGAACGCTGTACGACTTCGTGCGCAACTGCCTGACCGCGCCATTTGCCAGCGCAGAGAAGTTCGTCATCACCTATCTCCCCGCGGGTTCGCGAGGTGGCGGCGGCGGCAGCGGTCGAAAGATCCAGGAGGTGATTCCCGATTCGGACCAGACGTATCTAATCCGAGACCTGGGGCTGGCGGGCCGGGTGCTGGTCAACTTCAGCTGGGACGAGAGTGCTTCCCAGGCGGCTCACGCGAGCCGCGAGCTCCTGAAGCCGGAGTTACGGACCCGGGCCCAGGAGATCAAGGTGGAGCAGCCCCCAGAGGTCATGGAGACCGCCGAGGACGCGCGTGGTCGGACATTGGGGACCACGGGCAGTAGCGAGACCAAGACGGGCGAAAAGCGGAAGCCCGGCGGAATACCCAAGTGGTTGAAGTTGCCAGGCAAGAAATAAGGTGGTGGGTGGGAACGTCTTGTAGAAATCGAACATAGATAATGAATGAAATGCTTCACATGATCGTATGATACTGACATGGTCATCTAGTTCCGAGTGGTAGTAGCGAGGGTACGACGTCGAGATCTTTCATAGTTGGCGTGGTCCAAGTTACATGAACCTGTGGGTAACGCTACCGTTTCTAGAAGCAGTAGCTCATCCGTTATCACTCCCCGTGATCTGTAGGCATGCTTTCTCCGCATGGGATCAATGGGACCAGAGATAGCGACACCAGAGGGAGCCCGGGGCTCCTTCTCCACCTGAACCAACTCACCATCCAATCCATAATCACTGCAAGGGACACCAGAATTCCAGAGCCTACGTAGGCCTAGACCACCATCCACCCATTGTTGACACAGAAAAAGGCCAATCAATCGCCCGCCCACCGTCCAAATTCATCATCACAATCACTCAACCTCTACAAGCAATAGCGGAAGACGCAGCCAAATCTACAGTGCACGAAGAAAAGTAGGTAGGCCGAGAAAGGGTATTTTATTTAATTCTTGGGATGGGGCGACGTGCGTGGTGGTTTTCTCCTCGTCACTGACTAGTCCTCTTCTTTTCTTCATATTCCATTATTGTTGTATCCTTCCACTCTGATGACAAATATAAGAGAAGAATGATTTTTTGTTCTCGTTATCTCATTCTTGGCTAATCGGGAGAGAGAAACACAGTTGGTAGTTTTTGGGTAGGAAAATGGAGAGAGTGAAAAAGAAGACGTTTAGTGAGCACCAACACGACGGGCCTCGGCGATGACCCGCTGCATGTCCTCAACCTTTCTCTTGCCACGGCCGAAGGTACCGAGCTAAATTGGAGGAGATTGTTGTTAGCTAAATTTGCGGGATGGAGGATATACGGGAAGGGGAACGGTTGGGGAAAAGAGTTCGGAGAGCTGGCTCGTTTGTCCCGGTTCAGGTTCATCCCAATGGTTCGGTTGTTCGTGCAGGGTCGATGTGGTCGTTTGTTGCAGTCGAGCTGGCAGAGGTGGAGATCATGGGAGATGATGTTGAGATGTCGATGCGAAGTCGATGCAATCCGAGTTGCAATCCGAGTTGTAGTTGGAGAGGATTGCATTTCTCCGATACCGAGTAAATGATTGTCGAGGATGACCAACGAACATGGATTGGCGCAAAACCGAAACAAAAAGAGCTGCCCGCGAACCCTTTTCCCCTTCCCTTCACCCATCAAAGATTTCATCATGCAAAGACGTACCCTCTTCTTGGCGAGCTTACGAGCGCGCTTGTCCTGAGTGTTTCTCAGGAGTTCGATGATGCGGCGCTCATAGGGGGCAAGACCGACAACCTCGCGGGCGATCTCACGAACGAAAGCGGTACGGCGGGAAGACTGGCCCTTGGTACGGCTGACCCGGGTCTTGGGGGTGTTAAGAGGGGTGGTCTTCTGTATGGCCGAAGCATCAGGTCAGTAACTGTGTCCGTATTTCTCCATGACCGAAATTTTCCTTGCAAAGTCGTCAAGGAACATAGCGGAAGTGGAGCGCGATTTGATCCAGCCAAGTCGGTCAAGTTCGAGTTCTTTTCTCCCTCAAAAAAAGTCCCTTATTCCCTTCCTCAATTCCATGAATCAGACAGCTTTCCTGAAAGCATGGTGACATCTCTGGTTTCGACAATGATTCACCCTGCCCTTAGCATAGGAAAATCCTCCTTCCCGTGTATATTTTCCCCACTCTCGACATTCTTTTTCCACCACACTCGACCGGATCAAATCGTTGTTGCAGGAGATCAAAAGAACAGGGGACAACGTACGTGACCCTTGTTGAGGCCGACCACGATTCCGGAGCGTTCCTGAGCCATCACGACGGTTATGGACTGCGGTTGGCGACGACGGTGTTGCTGCTGAGAGGTTGTCGAGTCGACGTGCGCCGGTGCGGATGGGAATCGCGATGGAGTCTGCCAGTTTTTGGTTGGCCGTTGCGGGAGTGCGTAGCGAGGGTAGGGCTTAGGGTTGCTGCAGCTCTGTCACGTGTCATAGCCTTCTCCTATCGCTTATCGATTATCGATTATCGCTTATCGCTTATCGCTAATCGGTACATCTTGCCTTAGGTATTTTGTGGAGAAAGTGGCTTCCAGCTTCTACTTTTCCCCAACCCAGGTTGCATTACTACGTACCTGTTTACTTACGCTATGTAGTATATTGCTTTTCCCTATCATGCTTACATTGCGTATGTGATGAGCTCTATGAGGGACTGGCCATCGGGTGACAGGTAATCTGCTGCGCTGATTAGTGGATCTCATAAACTCTCAAGTATACTGATTTAGCTGCTCGGGTAGCCTGCTTGCTGAAACAGATTATATGATATGTATTTTTTTTCTACCCCTATACGCCGCTTTTTTGTCTGCAAGGCCTGATCACATGAACTTGGCGTGCTTCGCATGCCTTGGCCGAGGGCTCATCACGAGTCACCCGATGGTCAGTCCTCGTTATACTTTCTCATCGCTCCGTCTCAGGTCCAGTCTCAATATCTACCTCGACGATCTTCAAGATCCCGGCTCTGGGCCTTTGATCTTCCTCACTTGTCGGATCAAGGTCATCCACATTGATCGCCTCTGGTACACTCCGATTGGCAGTGGCCTCCGTCGTGGTATAGCATATGCCCCGATAAGCCCCAACATCCCTCATCTCCCAGTAGCCATCTACTGTCGACTCCGTAGTACTTGTGAAGTCGTGTCCAGATCTCCAGAGCCGCTGCGGAATAGTACGCATTGCAGGTCCCGGCCCCGGTCCCGGTCCAGGTCTTTGGTCGATGGCGGCAAGGGGTCCCTTCACCTGCGTGGAAGCGCTTCCCGTGCCGATGCTCGATACCCAAGCCTTGGCTTTCTGGGACGAATGTTTGAAGAAACTTGGCAGCGCGGGCAGGCAACTGGCGACGATCCCTGAGGTGATCTCGGCGGTGCTGTATGAATGCCAAAAAGCCAGTACTTTAGTCTCGGATTTCGCTAAATCATGATGCTGCAAGAGGAGTACTCACGTCCATAGGAACTCCGGAAACCAGTCGTGCGTTCTGTCCCGCGTGGTGCGGTTTCGGACGCTGACTACGAGACGCATCACGCTGCAGATGCAAGCACTATGAAAGGGTAATTTTCAGCTTCCCGCCCCAAGTCAGACTGGTCTGGCTGTAAGCAAGACCAAATTGAAACAAAAAGGTGAAATGGACTCAAGAGCCGAAGGGAAAACAGCGTACAAGATGCCGGCTGCAAACACAGCCGAAAGGCCCATCTTCTTCCACCATGTCATCTGTAAGCGCCAGACACAGACAATGGGAAGCAGGAGCATGAGAAAGTCGGAAACAACGTTCACGATGGACGTGATCAGAATCGGGATGTTGATGTTGATACACTGCCCGGGGATGTCTTGGTCCCAGATCTTGGCGCGCGGTCTGCATTCGCAGATCTTGACGATGGTGTCGGCTAAGTAGAAGAGGAAATTCATCCAGATGAGGGTTTGAATGAGCCAAAAAGGGGTGTTGCGCTTTGACGGCGCGAAAAGTCGGAGATATAAGAGTAGGATGGATAGCTTAGTGATATAGATCAAAGGGCCGTAGAGGACCTGTGAGGCGTTCGCTAGCTACATGGTTCATCATCAGCAAAGACGAGAAACAGCTGGCTGCGGTGGAATCCTCTCAAACCTTGGAGAATTCTCTCAGATCGGAAGCAGCGACGGCCCACTGGTGAACGCCGTTCCCATGTCGATCTGTTTCGAAGTTGATGGCGGCATATCCTATCAGGCCAAGCTGGTCATGTCATAGAGAAATGCTCAGTGTGTGCACAGGTGTGAAATGATAAGGAATTTGGCAGCTCAAAACCGCATACCCAAGCCAGGAAACAAGTCACTATCGAAATGCAGTGTTCAGCATCATATTATCCTCCAATTCCCAGCGAGCTGGCTCACTTCACAGGGACGCAGTACATACAATCCTCCCATCCCGGAGCTCGTGTGATGGAGATCTTCGAATACAGGCGCATTCCAACACAACACGAGCTGACAGTGAGGCATACCGTCTGGGTCAGTATGTCTTCGGATCGCAACGCGCGTCTGTATTCATACGTTAATGTAGTAGAGCCATTGTTAATATCACCCATTGTCCAGAGTGAGAAACAAACACAAGCAAATATGACCACAGGGAGGGTGTTGAAGCCTAGAAGCAGACCATGCTGAAGCAAAGTTTAGAGCTTCAGAGCCTGGCAGTGATAGCAAAGGCTTACTGGTTGATGCATATATACAAAGACTTGCTCCGCTAGAATGGCTGACTACTGAGTGAGACTGTGAAAAAAAATCGGCCACGACCTGCTGTAAGCCGGCGACGCAAGGCGACAACCACACCTGACAAGGAATGTGTGCGTGGCACACACAGGCATGGGATCGGGCAAGAACTAACCGTCGTTATATCCTGTACTCCTTTTAACTCTCGAAGCGCGATGGTCGTGTAACATCTCACGGCAATAGCGTGCCTCGTAGTCCAACATGCACCTACGGCTTGCTTCGACTAGCCTGTGACATGCACATAAAGAACTAAAGGAACCCAAAGAACAAAACAGAAGAAGAGGATGGTGATCAGGAGGTATTCAGTATCCATCCGATCGGAGTCGGAACACAAACAAGGGATAGAAGAATGACTGGTTCGCTACACGCATAAGCACCCTTGCAGGACCGGACCGACATTCACGCCACTCAGCCTCGTGGTCTAGGTCGAACCAAATCTTACATACTCAGGGAAATTGAGCTGTCTCCGCTGCATTGGGGCTGTATGCAGTTCGCACGGAAGAAGATGGTCAATTTTCGCATTGGCCCGACCCAGTAGACTGATAAACATAGGCAGTTGGTGAATAATGTTCGATTAACCACTAAGCTTGCTATAAGACTGGATTGACGAAGCATTATATAATCAAGGTTCGGCGGCCGCCTTTCAATTCGTGTCAGGGGAAAGTGAAGGGCAAGATGCTCTCACAGGGTTACGGCGATTAGGCCATTCAATCCCTCCTCCCAGCTTTCCTTTAGCTCACCGCAGAAGACCTCCAGTTGAGACATATCAAGTGTCTTGTCCAACTCGGAGGATAGCTTACTGCCTTCCGGCCCGCGGTCGGGACCAGCTAGGACCAGGTCGATCAACGCGCCCAACCCACCGGAAGCCGAGACGTGAGACTTGAGCGTACGACCACCGGTTCTAATACCCTGGAAGACTTGGCGTGTAGTGTCAGCCAATTTGTCAATTCTTTCCCGACTCAGTTTGGCGTTCTTGGACCCCTTTCGCGTGGCGACGGTGGTTAGAAGGGACAAGGCCTTAAGCGAGTCCAGGACCATGAACTGATCATGGAAGTATTTCCAAGTTGGCGCAATTGGTGCGTCCGAATCCAAGGAAAGTGCAGTTCTCGAAATAACTGGGGATACCTTCCCGTCACCATCATTGATATCCTGAACCCTTGAGTCCAACCATGCTTCCACCTGGGAAAGACTGGCGTCTGCTTGTTCGGCAGTAACAGATTTGGACCCACTCAAGAATAGAGCAAGTGCCAGGAGGCTCCGGTTTGTTTTAACGCTTTCAATTTCTGCTGTTGTCATTTCCGTTTCCACATTTTCACCCAAGATGTCATCAAGGTTTGGTAGCTCGGGCTCAACAGCCAATGGCTTTTGGGTAGCCAGAGACTTCAAAGTGCCAAACAGATGGTCGGTTAAATTCATAGATTTGATCCATCCGTTCTAATCTTGTTAGTCGCAATGGCATCACGAGAGAAATGAAGAACTCACACTAGGCAAAGGACCCAGGCGTATGCGCTCCTCAAATGTAGGCTTTCCAGGCGCTTCGCAGTTCATGAACGCGTCGAAGACACGTTGGTCGACCAAGGGCGATTCATCTCTAGCTGTGCCGTGCGGTTGTGTGAGCATGAGAGGAGAGTAATGGTGCAGAACCTACTTACCCATATCTTCGTATCTAGTCATAGGGTCCCCACCAGCCAGTCTCTGTATGCGCCTTACGTCTAGCGCCCACATCCTGCGGCAGATGCTTTGCCTCAAACGCCTCTGCAATTCGATGGTGCCTTCGATATTCACATAGCTGCCATAATCTAGTCCTCTAGTGCGATGCCTGGTTGATGTGAGATCTGCAGTGCGAAAGAAGTTAAGGGCCTGCACAAAAGCGGATTGTGGGTTGAAGTCTTTGTATTCAGCTCCCTCAATTGGTGGGGCGGAGTGTGGGTGGATTGTGGCAAGGCGTGTGAAAAGATTGTGAGCAACAGTTTCGAACTGCACTTGCTTCACTGAAAGTTTACTGAAGCTGCTCAGTGCAAGGGATCCTGCACCTAAGCGCAGATAGATCCTGACGACAAGTAACAATGCCTGATAGTTGTGGGGTGAGTCGACAAGGAGGCGTTCGAGGATAGCTGCTGCGCGAATGAGCACGGCGTCAGGAATTTGCTGATCAGCAACAGACGTGCATGGTTCGCTGAAACGCATCAGGCTCATGGCCGCCAAAATACATAAGTCATCGCTGGGCTGGCTTTCAATCGTGGTGGGAGCCGAAGTCTTCTCGGGACGCTGGACCTCACGGTAGACCTGCAGGCAGCGGACGATGAAATCTTCGACTTGTGGCTTGGAGACGTTCTCTTCGTTGGCCGAAAGACAGAAACAGTACTCAAGTTTAAGCGCGTTGATCGTCGCGACGCCCTTTCCTGAAGCTCCCTGTTTCAAAATTAGTCTACCAGCTCCGCACGAGATTCCAAACAACTTACATCTGTCCCCTCGTTTTGTCCTTTCGAAGTATAGTTCACCAGGCTTGTCATGGAAGCTTGATCGAGTGATGACACGTAAGTCCTCAGATCGCCGAAGCAGTAGAGCTTGTGCTTGTTCAGATCATAGTATTGTTTGCAGGCGGCGATTAAGTCCTCGGCGTTAGAGCTACCCGACTTAAAACCCCAGTGTACCATGTCAAGCCGAGCTAGGTGGGCATTGCGAGACTTGGGCACCGCCGCCACAAAGTCGCGAATGAAGTCCTGAGTTGCGATGGTAGTCCTGGACTTACATTTTAGCCGGCGGAGCTTCATCATTGCGTGAGAATGCACGCTGCAAACTTACTCTGACGAGTTAATCCTCTGAGTTGAGGTGAGGAGCAAGTGCCAGACTGCCCAATCATCACGTTCTTGAAGAGCCTTCAATTCTTCCTCGTTGCTTGGGATAGTGAGCAAGCTCTTTGCATAGTCCAGACCTTCTGTCCACATTTGAGCCTTTTCCAGACTGGACAGCTTCACCCCAACAAATGACCAATCGTTCTGCACGACGCGCGAGTTCAAACCTAGGTTATCGCTGTCGAGGATCTTGACAATCTCTGCATGGCGCTCTTGAGACTCAAAGATCTTAACAAGCAACAGTAGCTCCTCGGCCGATTGAATAGCTCTGGGAGGGCTCAGCAACTCCTTCTGTGTGTACGATTTCAAATATCACCATGATGTCCAGACAAATATCCAACCACGCAGAGGAAGATGACCGACGAGAGGCCGCTGATCGCAGAGGAAGAAAGTTGTAACATACCGGATCTTGAGGAACACTTTCGCCAGCTTTGGAAATCATACGATAGGCTAGGGTTCCGAAAAGCTTGCGTTCAGCCTCCGAAGCACCCGCATCGACGGAGATCAGGTAGCAAAGGAAGATGGCCCAGAAATAATACTTCCTAGTTTTGGGAAAATTGCTCTGGAGAGACATGGCAGCCTATGAATTGACCAAGCAAGACTGGTTAGCGCCTCTCTTAAGCTTGTCAACGGCGCCTGATGGTTGCGAACCTTTTGCGCCGACTTCCAGTCGTCGCCCTCAAAACCATACTCAAACCACCGCATCTGGATATCCAAGTCCTTTGGGCTAGCCTTAGAGGCCCTTTCCCACAGGCTTCTCAGGGTGTCCCCATGGTCGCTAAGTTTTTCCAGTGTCTCGTGGAGGATATCGAGGGTCTCCAGATCCGTGGTGGGAGGTTCGCCTTTACACAGTTCGAGAGTTTCGGCGATTCCACGTTTGCGATGGGCTTCGTCGGCATGACGGTAGAGAACATACGCCTTCCATGCCTTAAATCAAGCGTTCAAACTCCAGTTAGCATAGAAACAATCATATCGGAGGGAAGCTCTTGAATGCAGCCAGACATTCGCTTCGACTGAGGTAGATATCTTGACACAAATCACTAAAGGAAGGACTTACTTTGAGAAAAGGTGTGTCTTCACCCTTCTTAATACGCTTCTCGATCAATTGCAGGGCCTGCTTTAGATTTTGCCCATCAATGGCGTCTTGGATCTGCTTGTTCCGCCGATAAAAGACGGCGTCATTAGTGGAAGACATAGCAAATGCTTCGAGGAAACACGGGGTTGGAGAGGATAAGGCTAGAGACTCGACTTGTCAATAGCAACTATAGAGTGCAGTATAAAGTATGCTGCGCAAGCCAGCACAGCACACGATGTGCGGAAGAATTGAATATACAGCAAAGATGAGGGGGAAATTGTTGGTGTTTCTCCAACTATCTTTATCGTCTTTCTGCTGAGTTTGGTGGGCGGGGAAGCTCATTTGGAAGGCGGTGACGGCGGCATGTGGCCAAGCCTTCCTTCAATTAGTGGGGTGATGACGCAGTCATAGACTGATCGATCAATTATCATGATTCCAATTTCATCGGAATAATTGGCTTTGTCATAATCCCTTAGTAGAGGCTCAGGAATGGAGTTACAAGATAGAGTTACCTGGTTGGATTAAAGCCCGAGGATATCCGTCCGTGGTCAGGCCTCACAGGAAAGTATATCTTGGTGGACAAAACGTCAGGCCGAAAGTAAACCTCCCTTATACACACACATCTTGACTTTAGAGGCGCATAGTGAACCCCACGGTGCTGCTACTCCTAGCAACAAAACAGAGAAGAGACCCTTTCAATTAAATGACAACATCAAATAAACATACAAGTAGTGTACAAGCGTAGGCGGAAGGCGAGGAGAGGAGAAGGATGAAGAAGACATCAAGATGAAGCCTAACGCCTACCTGATAGTTCGGCCAGCCTGTGGATATCCCCAGGAGGCATTTCACTCTTGAGAAACTGCCCATTGCCAAATCCGCCGTCAATAATGCTCTAGCTCGCCGCCTAGCAAAGAACAACACCATGCAAAGATTGTTGACGATCTCTGCTTGTCTTGATCGAGGCCGGCATCTAGGACCGAAGCACACAGTACACCACTATCTTCATGAATCACACTACATAGTGGCTTGCGGCCAAGGTCGATGCTGGCTTTTAAGTAGGTCCTGCCATCGTGGGGCATCAAGGAACAGGAAACCAAGGCAACCTAGAGAGGTGGGCTGCCATGTGTTTGTTTCTGTACTAGCCTAAGCACCTCTTTTCTTTTGTGTCAACTGTAGAGATAACGGTTAGCAATGACGAGAACGGCAGGGAAAACCTTTCCAAGAAGGTCCAAAAGCTCCCGGGAAAGGCATCCGACAGATGAGCGCCGGCGAAGATAAAGGGAGGTGACCACTTAGAGCAAGTTTCACTCACCCATTGCTTTTTACAGTCGCGATAAGCCCTGGAAAGTCAATCAGCACATGGTACAATAGAGTTGAACGACTGCAGGGATGAGAATAGCCACCAGATACAGAGTGCAACACTGACGATCTGCACTCTTGATAAGGGAACAGCAAGCGCAAGTGTTCACAAGAGAAGGCAATATGAGTTATAATGGGCTAAGATACTCACTGGAAGTAGTCATGACACATCTCTCTATCAAAAGCATTGCGTTTCATACATTTCAGACTCCGGTCTGCGAAATCCTGGCACGGATCAAAGTATTCACTTGCAGACTTGCTATAGTGCTGTTAGTAATGGATGTTACACTAGATGCACTGACGCTAGATAGCAAGAGGTCTGATCCAGCAGTACAAGCGAGCAACCGAGCAATTGCCAACAATCGATAGAGCAGCCAAGGCATGTTGTTTATCCCCGTCTGGGACAACAGCCGCATAGAAGAAGGAGAGATTACAGTGCCAAGCAAACGAGAAATTGGAAAAAAAGAGCCCGGGGTATGGAATTTTAAGGATGACAAGAAGAAAAGGGGGTTAACCTACTTGGAGAATTTTCGCTCAACCCGTTCCCAAGAGTTCGATTGGACCGAGTCCGAGGCAGATGAGGACGGCGTTGCTGCTGCTTGCTGCTGATTTTGCTCCGAGGAGGAGGAGGAGGAGGAGGAGGAGGAGGCCATCGTTTAGATGTGAATTCTATACCAGCAAAGTTCAATTGACACACGTATTGGCAGGCAGTAATGGAAATGATGAGTGCCGAAGGTAGTCGGAGAGATATACAGTAGGTTGTAGTATGCGGAGGACATGTACGTATAAGTGAGCCTGGACTCCGTGGAGTGATCGATTGGCAGGCGGAAAAAGCTGGACCCGCCGACCTTGGCGTGGGGAAATCCCTCCGGCTCCGGTCTTCGACCCCTCTTAGTCATTCTTCCTTTAAAGCATAGTTATCTACTCAACATATCTTTTCGTAGTACGAATACAGTTTGCTGAGCAGACAATGTAAGTGAGTTAAGTGTCTACGGAAACGCCTCTATTTCAACAGGACAGATCATTCAATTTGCCCCATTTCTTTGTGAGAGTACAGCAGTGTTGTTGTACTGATGTGTATCTGCCCGGCTGAGAAGCCGAGCTTTGAATACAGTACCTCCTTCGATGTGACAAACATCACAGAATGGATATTTCTACCCCGCCTTACTCTGCATTGATCATGTGCGCTTCTTTCTCTTTCCCAGATAAGTTATGGGACAGGCTTGCTTGAGTTCGGTCCTGTATCACTTGTGCGCTGACTTTGGGTTTGGCTCATCTTTTCATCGTTCTGGTCAAGCGTACCATTGGCGACGTAACATGAAAAGACTACCTTAGGTCCTCCTGCGCCATCAGAGTACTTCATCAGTTTGAAGCGATTATGTCATACGAATGAAAAAAGTCCTTGAAACAGTCCTGTTAGATGGAAGCTCCACTTCCGTATTAAAGTATAGGCGGGGACAAAGTAGTGGGTAATGGGACTAAGAATAGACTGAAATCGGCATCAACAGTCCCGTCAAGTGCATATTAATCTTTTCAAAAGGTAGGAGCAATAGCCGACCGGTAATACGGGACACGAGAGGTTGAACAGAAAAACAGAATAATTCATGCATGTTGTGTGAACAGCGTAAGGGCGGCGAATCGGTTGTCATAGCTAGCGTTGCGTAGGGGCAAGAGAGAGAGAGGGGTTTGTGTTATCGGCAGCAGCACAGATAACCATTCCATGCATTCGATCTGATAGCTTACTAGCCACGACACGACACCAAATCCCAAATCGGGTCAAAAAGTCCTTTCAGCAGCCAGACTTGGCAGAGAAGCTTCGGAATTTCTCCCTTCACTCCCCCCACTAGAAACCGTTAACAAATCCAATAGGTCCCTTGATGCCCGACCGATCGCGGTGATCGCTATTCAAAACTCTTGCCCAGGTTTCATAGCTGCAAGGAAGGCTTTGGTGACTGGCCCACTTCGCAATGAAAGAGACTTACTGGCCTCGAAGTATGTTGCAGAAGTCTGCGTGGGCCTGGTCCGGACTTCCTAAAAGGTTTGTTGCCATGCTCTACCATAGCGCTAGTGACCTGGTCACAGAGCTGGGTCACAGAGCTTATGGAGAGATAATGAGTTCTTCACTCTGCTTTTCCAGTTCCACATGTTGCTCTAAGGGAGAAGCATTCGGCCCAATCGACGAGATGTCCATTACCTCAGAAAGATGACATGGTGGAGCATGCATCTTTTGTGCCAAACCCAACATAGGAATAGTTTCCATAGACTGGTCTATCCACAAAAACCTGCCTTGCAAACACACGTTGAGCGATTGAGGCTGGCAAGCGCGCCATAGTCCTCAAGACCGTGGATGTCAAAGACGATTGCATGGTGATCCAGTACTACAAACTCTGTCCGGCTGGTGGAGCCTGAAGAAGCTGTTTTGTTTGTCACATACGGTATTGTCACAGTCATCCAGCGAAGCCTCAAGATGGACTGGTTAGAGCTTGCCACTTACCTCGGACATGGTTATAAATAATGACCTTTGAAGCCCCTCCCAACTTACCCTGGCCATTCCCTCAGGCAGCTCCATCTTTTGTATACCTCTCTATTTGACTCTATTATCCGGATCCATCTGCGGCCTGATCCAAGTCCATATTCGACATATAAAGGTATGTCGCCGCCGCCAATCCATAGCATATGGCAAATATCTTGGATTCGCTTCTGACCTGAGAACCTCACAGTTGTAGACCAATGGCGTCTGTGGAGACCTACACCATGACACCAGCGCCAATTCTGGCAGGGCCAATCCAGCCCATAGAGACAGAAGTCAGCCACCAAAAGACTTCGTCAACAGGAAAGGTTGCCTTTGACCCTTCCAAGCATCTGGATCACACCGCTCCTTCCAAAGTGTACAGCATGAAAGAGCTCGGCTATTCGGACAGCCGAGGTGTTTCTCCCGTGGGAGTCTCCGAGCCTTTCCCATTGTTCTCTGTAGAGGCCATCCAAAAAATGCGAGAAGAGGTTCTCAGCGATGAAGTCTTCATGAAGCATAAGTACTCGAGCGATCTTGCTCAGTGCCAGCTGCGAGGATATGCGGCAGAGTGTGTAACCCAGGACCGAGCACCTTTGAGCATAGCTGATGTTGTTGCATAGATGCGCCCCGTTCATCTATGATGCCTGGAAAAATCCGGAGACGCTGGCAATCATCTCAAAAATTGCCGGTGTTGATCTCATTCCCGCCATGGACTTCGAGATTGGCCACGTCAATATCTCCGTTCACAGCGAGCAGGAGAAGAATGAAGCTCTCAAAGCGGTCATGGAGAAGACGACTCGACAAGCAGACGAAGGCGTGGCCGGCTGTCCTTGGGAGGACGAAGACCCGATCGTTGATTGGCATACAGACAGTTATCCTTTTGTCTGCGTGACTATGCTTTCTGACTGTACAAACATGATTGGCGGCGAGACAGCTTTGAGAAAAGGTGACGGCGAAGTGGTGAAGGTCCGAGGACCACAGATGGTAAGTCTGAAGGGCTTGATCCAAGTGGTAGCAGGCTTACAGCGTCTTTTAGGGATCTGCCGTCATTCTTCAGGGGCGCTATATCGAGCATCAGGCACTCCGTGCTTTGGGAACAACTGAGCGCATTTCCATGGTCACCTCTTTTCGGCCTCGCGCTTCAGCCACCAAAGACGACACTGTACTTACAACAGTACGTCCAATCTCTAAGCTTGGCGACTTGTACCACCAGTTCGCGGAGTACCGCTTTGAGATCCTCGAAGAGCGCCTGCGAGATGCCAACCGATTCATGCGTGATCAGAAAAGAGCGACCAGACCTTTCGACACGCGCCTATTGAAGCAGTTTATTCGAGAACAGATCGCGTTCTTGGAGCACATGGACAAGGAGATTGTTGAAGATAATAAAGTTATCAAAGGTGTTACTGACGATAGCCACCTGGTATCAGAAGATCTCAAGCAGCGGCGTTCCAAAAAACGAAGCTTTGCTGCTGTGGAGTAGATCCGAGCAGCGATTCACGTGGATGAATGAAGCGGTACTAAATTGTTCTTTTACTTCCCCATCGGCCAATATGAGGTTGTCGTATGGTGCTTTCGATTTGTTAAGCGAGCCAAGGGTTGCCGTTGGGCCAATCTTATCATGTCGTAATGAATTAGGGATGCGCGCCAGACATTTGTTAGTTAGGCCCATGCTTTTCATAGACATTGACCTGAATCGGTTTTCGACCACGAAAGTAGAAGATAATAGTGGTTTCGGGTTTTATGTCAGGGAACATCATGTCTTAGGGAGGGGAATTGTCCCGCGCGATAAGCTTGGTAACCAAAGCATTCTAAGAGATCGAGAAGGTTGTCTCCATCTCACGAAGATAACCGGCGCTAACAGGATACTGACGCCCGGATCGAACTCGGCGCTAAATGCTCCCCATGATAGGGGAAGCTATTCCGGTCGATAGAATGGATCCCATCCAGTTGGATCTCCACAATTAAACCGTTCCATTAGTTCGGGCCGTTAGGGAGGGGGAAAAGATGATGTTGATTTTGATGTGTTTGTTCGGTTTGCGCGCGGAACTTCCGACCGGCCAAGACAAAAGTGAATGTGATCGGTGTTCCTCAGGCAGGAATAAGGAAGTCTCTCTTCCCCCCCCCAAAAAACTAATCCTACCGGTATGAGTGCCGAGCTTTGCTTCCTCTCCTCCTCTCATCTCTCTTCTTTATCTCTCGAGAGCTGCGTTTCGAGGTCGCCCAGGTCACATTTAGCTCATAATTACGGGGTTGCTTCCTCTTCGAATTTCTGGCTTAAACCCACTTGATGGGGGGCTATTTTACTCCTGCCATAGTTGCCTGTCTCCCTCCCTCCAGTGATGTCGGCGATCGTCTCGCGTACCTGAAAAGTCCATACTTATCTCTCACCCTTTCCTAAACAACAGGACCTCTTTCTCATATCATCCACTTCCAAGAGCTTCGCGCACTTTGATATACGGTCTTACGTTTACCTCATATACATCTTCATCGGGCTGCGCAAAAGCAAATATCGAAAAAATGGCCCAAGCTGCTGCCGGGGCTGCCGTCTCGAACAATGGTGCCGATAACACAAATGCGCCCGCGATAAACACGGGAGACAACGCGTCGGGGGTGAGCGACTTACGCGGACATCTCGAATTATACATTGCTAACATCGTGTTAATAGCTCTTCCAAACTTTACAAGGTCATGTCGACAGCATTCGGTCCCTCATACAATGCGGCGTTTGCATCCGGCCGCTCTATGAACCCTATACTTTGGCTTGCGGGCATACATTTTGTTACAGTGTAAGCTCCCCATATGTTTGGCATAGCTATTCGCACGGCGTCTGACAGCGCATTGTAGTGCTTGACCTCATGGTTCGTTGGTGGACGACACAACAAAACATGCCCTGACTGTCGGGCCCCAGTGAAGGCGCAGCCTGCACCTGCTTACTTGGTAAGACACCCTGACTCATCCTTAGCCAAGTGAAGAAGAAAAAGGCTCGATCTCACACTTCAAAGGTTAGAGCCGTTGTTCAAATGTTCACGAGCCAGCCCGAACTACTCGACAAGGGCGAGACCACAGACGAGCACCAGCGCCATCACAACGAGGAAGCAGAGCGGTTAGAAAAGGACAGACAGAATGCAGACCCTAAGGAAGGGGGTCTGTTTCGGGGAACTTTCAACAAGCCGAAAATTAGTCAGCCCATCATGGATGACGATGATAACATATTACGTTGTCCGCACTGTGCATGGGAGTTGGAGGACGATGAATGTATACACTGCGGTTACCAACGAGATCGCGACT